ATCCAATGATGCTTGAAAATCACACTATTGCTCAGAGTACAAATTATGTGGAATTTACAACCTTTAAAGGGTCGGTAACTTGCGCGGCTTCGCATTTTGATTCCGTCCGGATTCATCCGAACTCGAAACCAAATTCCGTTTTTTCCTATGTGTAGCCAATGAGTCCATCTACATAACCATGATTGCCCGATCTATGTCATTACCTCACGATGCCTCCAACCTGCACACGAAAAACAAGAAGAAAAACGGGAAAAACACACGAAAAACATAAAGAAAACCAAAATGGAACAAAACACAAAATAAAACACAAAATGAAATAAAAACTCACAAAATGACCTAAAACGAGGAAAAATAAAGGGAAATGAAGAACAAAAATATAACGAAAAATACAACAAAAATATTACAAACAGGGTTTGACCACATAGCTTAGTCAACAAGCAACAAGAGAGAGAGTGTGGGGTCGTGCAGTTCGGTATTGGGCGCGCGAGTCGCGGGTTCAAATGGCTCGGGCCAGAACTCGGTTCATCAATAATAAACAATCAAGGATCGATACGAACGTTCGATAATTAAAATAAAACGAGATATTTATATACATATAATACATATAATAATATTTACTAATATTACACATAATTTATTTATTAATAATACACATTAATCTCATAAAATCGATTAAACAACTAAAATCAATTAGCAATATCAATAATAATAATAATAATAATAATAATAATAATAATAATAATAATAATAATAATAATAATAATAATAATAATAATAATATTAATAACAACATGTAGACATTTAAGCAAATAATTATAATAATAATACTAATAATAAAAGCAATAGTAATTTAAATAATTCTAAAATATTTCACAAATAAACGGGGCATTACAACTGATATGCTCTCTAACGACCTCAAGTGTCTGGTCAGATCCGTTGAACCGTCAAGTTCAGCTCGCGAAAGTTCTTGAGAAAGCCTGCCTCCAGAACCTCGTCGACCAACGAGTGACTATGGATCTTTAGTGCTACCTTACCCTCGAATCGAGCCTGCAATTCTCGAAATTTGGCTGCCAACTGCTCAAGTCTGTTGTCTCGAGCTACTCGCCATATGTGCGAAGGTGACGACATCGACATCGCTTCAGCTTATGCTACGATTCGGTAAAACTTTGTCCTGGTGAATTGGATAACCTGGTCTCCCCTAGGCACCTCTTGTGCCATGGGATTCACCAGCTAACCTTTATCTGCTCATGAGATCGCTTGACCCCCAGATCCTCCAATTGCTGCACCGTAACACCCTGAGATACCAACTCTTCTACCTCTTAAATTCATGTCTCTCTTTGGACGACCATCGGCTCCTGCCTTTCGAGAGGTATCCTTAACGTGTTGGACACTGAGGTTAATGTCGTGTGGGGGTGCCAACAACGTCTCATGCAGCGTAACAATCGCGCCGACTGACTTCGACTAGCCCAGTGGAGGGTTTGATCCAAGAGCTCGCGACATCCATGCCACATCCAACTCCTTGGTTAATTTTTTCTGAGGATTCTCATCTGTCATGATCCTCATATTCCTTCGTAATATTCGTGAGAAAAATCGATTAGTCTCTTATAGCCGGTAAAAGACTAGAGTATTTCCGTAGACGACCCCAATTTGATGTGTAAATTGTCTTGAGGAAGCACGATCTCGCGAACAATCACCAACTTGGAACTCCGATGACCTGCAATGAGCCAAACACTTCGGCGCTCAAGTTAGTATTGATTGCTTGATAGAGTGTATCCGTTGTAAAATAGAATAATGCATGTATGCGATGTGTGAAGTAAAATAATATGGTTTATTTAGGAAAGAGATCCTTCTGTATTTACTTTTCTAACTTACTACGTCTCTAGGATCTAAGACTCCTTTTCAACCATGAATGACTTTTTCTCCTCTTACCATACGACTCTTAAGTTCTTAGGTCAGAGACCTCATTACCTGCGGTAAACTGGACCAAGGTCGCAACCGCGACCTCCACCTTCACGACCTATAGGTCATGAGGTCCCGCCAAGTATCCGAGCTCCTTAGGTTCTCCAACCTCTAGCTATCCAAACGAGATATACATGTATCCTGAACTACTTAAGAGAGCTCCCGGACAGGAATATGTATTGGAAACGACTGAGCTCCCTTGAACCGAACACGACCAAGCTAACCGTTCTAGTCGATTCACCGACTTATTCTGGTTACTATATCCCTCCCCTTCCCTTCCCTTCCCTTCCCTTCCCTTCCCTTCCCCCTCCAAATTAATTACCAAAACAATGGAAAATAAATAAAATTCCCATCCCTTTCTCTCGATTCACCTCAAACCAAACACGCCCTAATACGAGTCAGTAGAAAAATTGTAACCCTGTTATTGTTGCCGGAAAAAAATTCCGGGGATTGTATTGATCGCAATTATTGTAATGAAGTCAATTTAGCGCTGCTGCGCTCTTATACATTCAGCCACCCACAACCTGAGCCTGCTGGGACCTCAGAAAAAAAATGGCAAAAGAACCGACGCTCTCTTTGCTAATTACCCTCTCTGCTGCACTCTTCTTCTTCTTCTTCCTCCCAGCGCAGGCAGCACTTTCTTCTAACTTCCTTCGAAATGTCCCCCGCTTTCTCGGCAAATTCTCGCGCTCCCACTATGCCGGAGCTCCCCCTTATCGGTACGAAACTCGTTACTTCGACCAGGAGCTCGATCACTTCGGATTCTCGGACCTCCCAAAGTTCCGTCAACGCTACCTCATCAACACCGAACATTGGGCCGGGCCCTCTGCGATGGGCCCGATATTTCTCTACTGCGGCAACGAAGGTGATATTGAATGGTTCGCCGCCAACACCGGCTTCCTGTGGGAGCTCGCTCCCCGTTTCCATGCCATGGTCATCTTCCCTGAGGTACTCCTTTTATTTATCATTGGATATTAATCGTGGTGGACGAAAATTTTGAGTTGAAGAAGGAAGAGATATGTAGACCAAACAACAAACAATTTAAGCTCTTTAGCTATAGGGTCGGCTCCAATGTCCAGCATAAACTTCAATTCGATACGAAACCTCTCAATTCGATTTCGGTCGCTTGGTCATTGGAAACTGTAAAGCTTGCCACATTTTGTTGTGTTTTCTGGTGAAAATTATTTTGACCCTTTTTGTTATTCTTGAGTGAGAGTTAGTTTGGACCAAAGCTGGGGAAAAAGAAATGTCTTTAATGGAGATTTGGTAGTTGAGAACTCATTCTAAGACTATTGCCACAACTGTTACTGCCTACCAAAGCAAAAATCCAATTCAACATAGCATGTTAACTGAGCTAACTGTGTAGACGTGTGTGTCGGTAGTTTTTATTTTCTAATTATAACGAGCCAAATTAATGATTGTGTTCTGTTTGGCAGCATAGGTATTATGGAGAGTCGATGCCTTACGGAAGTAGGGAGGAAGCATACAAAAATGCAAGTACACTAGCACACTTAACAGCTGAGCAGGCTCTTGCTGATTTTGCTGTATTAATCACTGAGTTGAAAATAAATTTGTCCGCCCAGGCCTGTCCTGTGGTCCTGTTTGGTGGATCATATGGGGGAAGTAAGAATTTTTTTTTTTGTACATTAGTTGTTGTGTTGTATGATTCCAAATTTCTTATTTCAAACTTTGTGCAAATATTGGAGCAGTGTTGGCGGCTTGGATGCGGCTGAAATATCCCCACATTGCCATTGGAGCGCTTGCTTCTTCAGCACCTGTTCTACAGTTTGAGGATATTGTGCCTCCTGAGACATTCTACAATATTGTTTCTGACGATTTTAGAGTATGTCTCACGTAATTTCCTTTTTTTTTTTTTAATTTATATTGTTTATGATATATGCAGTAATTTATGCATTTCTTTTACCATGCAATTTGATTTACTTGGGCAGCGTGAGGGGAGTCTGAACTGCTTTACTACCATAAAGGACTCTTGGGATGTAATGGAATCCGAGGGTCGGAAAAATGATGGACTTGCATATCTAACTGAAACCTTTGGTTTTTGCAAGTAAGTTTGAAATGGGAATAAATGTTGAAAGCGTGATTGGATATGAGATTCGTTGCTATGGTTTATGCAATAATTGTGTTTTGTAACACCGTAATTTGGTTGATTTGAAAATTGAGAGAGTGAATGGTGTATTAAGTGACAATGTTTTATTAGCCACATTATTATATGCTGATTATGATTAAAAACAAAATTGAAGAAAATTCTGCAAATAAAAAACAAAAAGTAATATTGTAAGTATTTGAAGCTTGCTTTTGTGGTTCTTTCTTCTTTCTTGTAATATTTTCAACTCAGCGGGTATTTGTTAAAACAAATCCACTCTTGATTGTGAGAGTTTATTTGGCAGGAAACTCCAGAGTGTTGATGATCTCTTTAACTGGTTGTCTTCAGCTTATAGTTATTTGGCAATGGGGGATTACCCTTACCCTGCTGACTTTCTAATGCCAATGCCTGGAAACCCAATAAAGGAGGTTTTGTTGTTTAGCTGCAAATTATGAATCTAAATTGTATCCATCTACTTGTGTGATGTTCTTTACTACGAGTTTTTATTGTTACGAGAAGAAATTTCCTTTACTTTGTTGCTCATTATCTAAACTTCAGTCTTCCAGTAATGTTTGCAATAATCTCAAGATAGAAAGAGAAAACCTGGAACATTTTTAATGGATAAATTTATTTAGGGAGTGAAAATAAACATTTTCTGATTACAGTTCCGTAATAAAAAAACTTCTTTTATGTACCGAAACTGAGAAAATGCAGAAACACTTTTCTGCAATTACAAAAACCCCATCCCAACTTTCAAATCTTAAATAAAAATGAAGCAGAAGCAAGATTTTGCAAGTGCAAGAAACTTGTTTATTCTAGCTAAAAGTCTGGAGTCACTTTTGTTTTCTTTCTCTTTTCATGTACTCTTGTAGAGTACTTGATTTTATGCTTATGAAGTCTAGTCATCTCTGCTAGGTTTGTAAGAAGATTGACAACAGTCCTTATGGGACAAGCATCTTACAGCGCATATTCCAAGGAGTTAGTATTTATTACAATTACACTGGAACAGTTGAATGCTTTGATCTGGATGATGATCCTCATGGCATGAGCGGGTGGAATTGGCAGGTCTAATATTTTTGCAATTTGGTTTACTTGGGTCCCTCTTTCTTGGTTTATATTGTACGACTACACGAGTGCCCCTATGAGTTAGCCAATTATTTATCCGTTTTTTCTTTGCCAGGCATGCACTGAGATGGTCATGCCGATGTCCAGCAGTAAAGAACATAGCATGTTTCCGGCATATGATTATAATTATACTTCCGATGAAAAGTGGTGTTTGGAAAATTATAATGTCAAGCCCAGGCCTACATGGATAAGTACGGAATTTGGCGGACATGTATGGAACCTCACTTGATTTGTTATTAGTGACATTGTGTTCTTGTAGTTTTGTTCTTGTGCCTTTTCTTTTAATTGTCTTTTTAAGAGAGGGGAGCTTTTTTTTTTTTTT